GACACAAAGACATGAAGTGAGCAGATGCTGTTAGAAAAAGCACACCAAAGACTTGCTTTCTGTAGGGATGCCATAAACGTCCAATTTGTAATTAAAAAAAAAAAAAATACTGGTAAAGCCCAACAAAGAAGGAATGCCTATACAGATGTCAAATTATAATGCTGCACACCTGAAACTTTTAATAACTTAAAAAAAAAACTTCAGGGACAACAAAGAAAAACGAATTGGAAAAAGATTTAGGCCACATTTATTTAATCCAAGTATTAACTGTAACTGAGTAAGTATTTCTCAAATACTCTCCCTAATATTCAAAGTTATATAGCCTTACTTCTTTTCTTATTAATCATGAACTTCATTTTGGAGCTCCTTGGAATTAAGCAAAGTAGAAATGACCCTTGGAAAACACAGCAGTTAGGGGCATTGATTCCACTGCACAAAAATCCACATGTAACTCACAGTCAGCCCCCCCATATACATGTTTTGGATCCTCTGTGTCTGAGATTCCACATCCTCACATTCAACCAACCTTATATCATAGAGTATTGTAGTCAAAGTGTTAGTCATTCAGGCTGTCTGACTCTTGGTGACCCCACAGGCTGTAGCCTGTCAGGCTCCTCTATCCATGGGATTCTCCAGGCAGTAATACTGGAGTGGGGAGCCATTCCCTTCTCCAGGGGATCTTCCAGACCCAGGGATGGAACCTGCGTCTCTTGCATTGCAGGCAGATTCTTCACTGCACCAGGGGAGCCGTCAGGGGAAGTATTACTTCCTACTGAAAAAAACTCATGTGTAAGTGGACCCCACTGTTCAAGGGTCAGCTGTGTAGTGTTCAGAATCTGCCACCATATAATGTAATTTTGCCTTCCTCTCCCTCCCCACCATACCTCCCATTCTAAGGACCAGATTTACTCTGCTTTGCTATTTTGTTCTAAGGCTGCATTTCAAGTTTTCTACCCTAGTTCTGCTATCCAAGTCACCAACTTTCTTGCTTCCCAACCTTTAACTTTCCTCTCTTCAAAGGCATCTATTAAGCATAACTCAAAATTCATAACTATTCACATAGAATTTCTGAACTGAAAAGACGTATGCGTAAGTGAATTCATACAAGCCAACTCATTGTTGGCAGTTGTACATGTACATTCAAGCAAGGTATACACATAATATATCTCTGGCTTTCTAAAATAATATTGAGAAAGAGATCAACAAAGGAACAAATGAGAACAGCTTCCATTTTCCTCAAAACTTCCTTTTTTTAATGGTTTCAAAGAGTCTCAAAAATATTTATCTCTACCTTATCCAAGATGGCTAAATTCCATAAAGAGCATTACATTTCACTGGGTATATTAAATATTTAGTCTCCAATCTGAATAAAAATACCTCAGCTTTATCATTCAACATAATTTTACCTTAAAATGATTCAGCACAGATCTTTGGTGAAAAAAAAAAAATGATATAACTCTAAATAACTCTTTGAAATACATATTGCTTCCTGAGTCAACGAATGTAAAAACTTCTTACATAACTACTAATATAATGGATAATGTACTTCAACACAAATTCTGTCATTGAATACAGGATCAGAGTTACATATCTTTTTAAAGTCAAGAGTACAAAGCAAAAAGCAAGCACTGTAAAAACCAAACTAAAATTCCATTTCCCAGGACATGGCTGGGCAGTTTTCTAACAATGAGCAAACAAATCAAACTGCTATGAATTAGGAAAAGCTGCAACTAATAAACAAGGGATAGGGAGTACCCTAAACAAGCACCAAATAAAACAACACAACCACAGCAATATAAATATGATACGCAAGACCAGAAGGGAGAGGTGAGGGACAAGAGGGCAAGAAAAAAGAGAGGCTCTGGAGAGATGGTTGAGAACAAAGAGTAATGAGGTTTTAAGTTACTAGCTGTGTCTCTTGATCAAAGTTTTTTGGCTACTGAAAAGCATGAACACAATCCAACTCAATGGGCAAAAGCAAGCTTTTGTATTTGTTTTTATATCCAGTGAGCTTTCAACTGTAAACTTAGAGTCCACCCAATTTCAATTGTTTTAAAAGCATTTTTGAGACTACTACAAAAAGTCCTTGATTGTGGGCTGACAAAAGTTACTCTGATAACTTCTAACATCACTAATTTTCAGTGATGCTTATTAGCATCCCCAACACTGAAGACAAGTATTTTTTTCCCAAGAAACACTCCAGAATTGGTAAGAATACAAAATTCACACACAACGTGAAAGTAAAATTGCACCATCTCTCTCCCAAAATAAATTTAACACTTCATTTTATATTTCAGCACTTCACTTATGTGATAAAACACCATCAATTAAGTCACAAAATAACATATGGAGATGCTACACTCTTAATACTGCTTGGTACTTCAGTTGCTTATAGGTGGGCAACAGCTAAGCAAGTTATTAAAAGAATGATTGTCATGACGTTTCTTTCCATTTTCAGGTCCACTATTGTTCATGTAGGAAGGATTAGAACCGAAGTACTGGTAAAGAACCCATCTGCCAATGCAGGAGACGTAAGAGACATGGGTTCGATCCCCGAGTCGGGAAGATGCCCTGGAGGAGGGCATGGCAACCACTCCAGTGTTCTTGCCTGGAGAATCCCCAAGGACAGAGGAGCCTGGAGGGCTACAGTCCACAGGGTTGCACAGGGTTGCATGACTGAAGCAACTTAGAATGCACGCACATCAATATTAACATTCTTATCAGGAAATTTAAACTCTACAGATCTGATCAAGAAAAACTGAAATCTGATCAGAAAAACTAACTATAGAATTATGACACAGGTTATGTTCTTTTCCAAGGAAATTCTTTACTTTCAGGCATTCTTAACTTTTAGCACCAATGCCTATACTCCCAGCTCAGCAGTTCTCAACACATGGTCCCCAGCCCGATCCAATCTTCCTTCTTCTGGTGACACCTCAGTTTCCCACGAGACAACCACCTCTCCCTATTCTCGGCCCCTGGATTTCAGGTAGTGCCTGAGATGAGCACAAGATGCAAGTCTGGGCAATCAAATTCACAGTGATTAAATCACTAGATACAAAACAAGTACGATTCAGTTCTAGAACTTTTATTTTTTTGGTGCTATAACTTTTTTCCCCAAAACTTTTTTTACCCAATTAACAAGGCTGTGGTAATTTCAGGTGAACAGTGAGGGGCTCAGCCATAAGTGTATATGCATCCATTCTCTCCCAAACCCCCATCCATCCAGGCTGGCGCATAACACCGAGCAGAGTTCCATGTGCTATACAGTAGGTCTCTGTTGGTTATCCACTTTAAATACAGCAGTATGCACACGACCTTCCTAAAATCCCTAACTACCCCTCCCTCCCCACTTCAGGCAACCATTACAATTCACAGTTCTAGAACTTTTGCTGAAATTTTTAGTTAAGAGATACCTTTATAAGTGCTAAGCTAGGCTGTTGGTAAGCTTCTCTGTCATTTCGTAAGAAGGGCCAATCAGAGAACAAAGCTTACACATTTGCTTACACACACACACAGACACACACAAGCAGAGACAAATTAAAGAATGTCTCTGGTGACAGTACTGCAAAGTCTTATAAACAAGTCTTTTCCCCAAATTTACAGTATGTGGTCAATAAACTCCTTTTTTCCCCCCACTTAGCTTCTTAGGGCTTTCTGTCACTTACTAGTCCTAACTAATATGTATAGTTTCACATATAACTAGTTGTATCCCCTTACCATTTAAATCTCAATTGTCAGTGATAATTTTGATAAGTCCTGGAGGACTGTCTGTATCAGACTCAAACATACACTATAGAAAGTTTATAATGATAAAATCATTATTACAAAATGTCAACTTAGGGTCCCCACAATGATGACTCATTTGGAAAGCATGCTCTAAGGAAAAAGAAAAGAATGCAAAATTGATAATGTATTAAGAAATGTACAGCTCTACCAAGCAGAAGGTAAACATGAGCTTACGCAAAGACACATGAAAAAATTCCATTCTATTAAATCTGGGAAAACAAAATATCCTTACCTGGTAAGACACTGTACATATAAAAATCATTACAGTTAGTAGAACAGAAATGAAAAATGGAGCTGAGAAAAACGTTAACATAAAGTTAATACAACACAAAATAGGGAATTTTCTCAGTTTTTTTCCAATGGAACAAAATATCCATTCTCACTTAGATTTAGAGTTTATGTAAAACTATACTGGTATTAATTTCCTACAGCCACTGTAATTACTACACATTTGTGGCTTAAAATAACAGAAATTTATTTTCTCACAGCTCTGGAGGCTAAAAATTTTAAATCAGTTTCAACAGGCTGAATCAAAGAGGTTCTATGGGACAATCCAACACCAGGATTTCAGGATTCCTTGGCTTATTGGCCATATCACTCCAATCTTGGCCTCTGTAGCCACTTGGCCTTCTCTTCTGTTACATAAATCGTTCCTCTGACTCTCTTTCACTGTGCATTTGGGGCCACCCAGATAACCCATGTGCTGTAGTCCATGGGCTCGCAAAGAGTCAGACACGACTGAACAACTGAACTGAACTGAGATAACCCAAAATAATCTTTAATCTCAAGATCCTTAACTTATTCATACCTGCAAAGTCTTTGCTATAAGGTCACATTCATAGATTCTAGGGACTGTGATATGGATATCTTTTAAGGGACCATTTTTCAGCCTACTACTATGTCATAAGTCATTTCAGTAACTAAAATACCACCAAAAAGGCTAAGAGTCTAGAAACTACATGAACTTTATATTCCCCAATTAAATTTTTTCACAATGTTCTCTATTTCTATTGGTACCAACACAAAAAGTTCCCAAAATGGCATATTTAAAATAAAAAGGGAAGACTCCGGTGAGTAAGAAACTAGCCTATTCAGCACAGCCTTACGAAGCGCCACCGGTAACTGAATGTAACGCAGCGCTCCTTGAGACCAGGGTTACTGTCATGACCGTTCATTTTACTACAAATTTAAAAGTTAATGCAAGACTTTACCTCCAGATCCTAACTGCTTGTAGAATCTGTATTCCAAATGGAGCTGTGGTGCTCTGGATTTCATGGGCTCCTATTTAGAAAAAAAAGCAACAATAAAAAATATTTAAGTTATTAAAGTGTCACTAGGCTCCAATTATTATGAATGCTACAAATCTTGATGTCAACTCTTAAACAGTGTAACACTCTATTAGGTATCCTTGTCTCCCTAAGGTTAAATCCAGATAATAATCAACTTTAAGTACAATGTAAAAGAAACTAATGCCATAAACATATACAAGGTTAAGTGGCTATTAGACAAGCATTAGGGAAAACTATGTTTGACTCTTTGACCCTGAAGACAAGTATTCTGTGAACATTCTTGACTAAGGCAATGATGGCCCTGATTCTATTTCTCCTGTTCCCAGGAACTACTGTGCCCTCTACACTATATGATGGAAAGGTTCTGGGTTAAAGTGACATTACAGAAAAGTAAAAAAGAACAACGATGGAGATGGGAAAATTTTGACAGTAGCAACAATACAGTTTAAAAAATTATAGGTGGAGTACAGCTTACAGTAAAACACACAATTTCTAAATATTAGGCTCATGAGCTTTGTAAATTCCAACCACTAGCTCAAAAAGCCTTTAGCGCTTTTCTATCACCCTTCTCTCAGACTTCTATCATCTTTTGATTTGTTTTGTCTGTTGCTGGATTTCATGCAAATAAGATTGTACGATATATGTTTTATATGTATGTGTCGACTTTTCATTCAACATCATGTTTTTGAGATTTATACCTACACAAACACACACACACTCATAGAACATAAACAGAAGCAAAGCAGATTTAAGATATACATGTGTGAAAATATTTGTAGGAAACAAATCTATAACAGAGTAATAACACAAGAAAATTGAACAAGATCCAACAGGAAAGTATATAACAAGCTAACAAAATTTAAACAAAATCAACAAAACTTCAAAAAGTACAAAAAACCCAAAATAACCAAAATTTAAAACCAATCTGTCAACACACTAACACAACAGCAAAGAGAATTTGGAAACTGAGAGACAGAAAAATATCTAAAGAATAAGAAAATTTTGTAGAATGCATCTACATAAATTATACAAAATCCATTATTCAGGAAGAAAAATAGAAAACACAGAAAAAAAGATTAAAGAGCTAGACAATATAAAGAGCACTAATATGCATTTGATAAGGAAAAGAGAAAGAAAAGTGAGCAGAGGCAATAACTGAAAAAATAAATGAGAGAACTGATGAAAGATAACAAACCAGAGAGTCAAGAGGAATGTGAATCCCAAACAGAGTAACTAGAAAGAAATTTATACTTGGACATATCGTAATGAAAGAACCAATGACAAAGACTTCAAATAAGGAAGCTGTAAAATCCCAGTGGAACAATTATAATCATAAAGATTATTATAAGAGAAAACAATCAATTTAGTTCTTAAGAGGCAGGATGGTAGGGTAAAGGCAGAGGCACTGAAATTAAATTGTGCTGGGTGTGAATCATAAATTCACTACTTGCTAGATTTATTTAATCTTTTTGTACTTTTCAGTTCCCTCCTTTACAAAAAACAGATAAAATATTTTCTCATTTTATTTCTATACACATATATATGACTTAAAACAGCCCCTTTCATACAGTGGAATTCTTTAGTTAACTATATTAAAGTGTATAACCATAAGATATCATAAAAAGATACCCAAGTAGACAGTCACAAGTAAAATACATATTCACTCAATAACTAATATTCCCTAGGTAAAAACAGAAACCCAGATCTAATTTAGTAGAGTCAGTTCAGCTTGATTCCAATACTTTACTAGCACTAAAATTTTATTGTGCCACCATACAAGAAAAGTCACCTCACCATTGGATGAATTTTTCATTATTCATGAATGACAGGTTATTATGTAACTATAAATAAGATACATAATAACCTGTCATTTGTTGTATGGCAAGAGGCAGGAGGAGAAGGGGGTGACAGAGGATGAGATGGTTGGATGGCATCACCAACTCAAAGGACATGAGTTTGAGCAAGCTTCAGGAGTTGGTGATGGACAGGGAAGCCTGGCGTGCTACAGTCCATGGAGTCGCAAAGAGTCACAAAGAGTCATGACTAAGAGACTAAACTGAACTGAACAAACAAGATATGAGACTGGTGGCTGAGATCAAGTTAACAAATTAACCTGAAGCAAACTATCAATATGAACTAGGGTAACATTAAATAAGTGTGTAAACTTTTATATGGGATATATAACAAAACTGAAATTAGTCACTAAAGTTTGCTCTCTGAATGAACACCACTGTCATCAAATAAGGCCTTTGTACCAAGGTACAAAAATAAGATAGTACTGAAGGTATACAGATACAACATTTTCAAGTGGTTACTTTTAAGGCAGGTTCTGAACAAAATTATGTGGTTGTCTATAAACAGAGACAATAGATACAGACAGACATATAAGACAGAAAAAATATATAAGGACATTATATATGTCTATGTATATACATATAATACACATATAAATACACACACACGCAAATATTTGGGAAGCTAAGTACCAACCATGGTTTAAAGTTTATATGAAAAATTATCTGTCCTGCCAATACATTTTTGGATGAATCTGAGGCAAGCATAACTCTGTACCATACTTCAACCTCAAAATGCCACATGTAGATATAAAAATACTCCCAGTTTCCCAAAGAATATTGAACAACAACATTATTATACGTAGTTCTGATCACGGTGCTAATAAGGGACAAATCAAGGCAGAAGAATAATGTCAAAAAACAAAAGAAGAAAAAAAAATAAGGGGACTTCCTCACTGGCTCAGTGGTAAAGAATCCACCTGCCAATGCAGGGGACGTGGGTTCAATCCCTTGTCTGGGAAGATCCCACATTCTGTGGAGCAACTAAGCCCAAGCACCACAACTACTGAGTCTGTGCCCTAGAGCCTGAGAACCACAACTACTGAGCTCACACACCACAGCTACTTAAGCCTGCTCGTCTGGAGTTCACGCTCTGCAACAAGGGAAGCTACCGCAATGAGAAGCCCACGCAGCACAACACAGAGCAGCCCCTGCTCACAGCGACTAGAGAATGCCTTCACACCGCAACAAAGACTCCGTTTAGCCAAAAATAAATTAGTAAATAAATTGAGGTTCCAGAATCAAAAAAAAACCTTGACATTAAAAAAAAAAATACGTGAACAGTGATATAGCATGAAGGCAAACTAAAACAAGTGACATATGTGTATACATAAGAAGGCTAACAGATGACATAGTACATGTTTAGTAAGGTATCAAAGATGTCAACAGGGTAAACAAGTTTCAAATCTGAAAATAACTGGAGCTAAGGGTCACCAGTTAATGACTGAAATTGACAAGTCAAGGTGAGCCTAGCGTGGCTCCTATTTTGACATAAAGATGTATTTGCCCTAACCTAAGTATCACTCACATGCTCCCGTGAATGGAACTACTCACTAGAAGCCATCAATAACAGAGAATACAGGTACTGCCATCCTAGTGTGCCACGCCCACTCCCAACACCATTCAATGTCTGTATCTTAGACCACTGGCCTAGACCATGGGCAAAGAAAAGCCAGCAGTGCCCATTCCTTGCATCCTGGCCTCCCTATTGTGATTCACACAAACTAACTCCCCTTGTCATGACTACACACTCATGAGGGAACCTTGTAAATTTCTTTTTGTAATTTTAGCTTAATATTCTATGTAGATCAGCCTATAGAAAGAAAACACGATTTATACTGTTGTGCGCATTTTGGACCCATAACAGTAAAATACCTTCACTTTAAGTTAGAAATTAACTCTTCTGAAATACTTACACCTGAGAGCTTGATTGACTAAGTGAATTGATGAATACTGTGAATCTAGTTCTGACTAACAGTGACAATTTTAATGAGACAACCTAACCAGATTTTCTGTCATAAAAATCAAGGACCAGAACTTAAACCTAGGTGAACTCATGCCAGGTAAATGCCAGTCCCACTCACATGTCAGTGAGCCCATCTCAGAAGCACCACAACCCCTACTGCGCATTTTTATTTTCCAGTAAAAACAGGCAGCATTCGTTCCAGTGAAACTTGGTTTACACTCAGAACGATACTTAAACTGTGCTTTTTAACTTAAAACACAGTTTTCTATCTTATCCCCAAAGTTTTGTTTTTCAACTTCTCCAACTTGCCTCTTGCTTGAATAGTCTCTTCTGTAGTCACATTGCCCTAATAACAGAGGCTATATTGGCAGAAACAAGATCAAGACTGGCAGGCAGGCTGGGAAAACCAAGCAATCCATGCTCAACCTCAGGGAAATCTGGCTGACAAACCAAATAGTAAAGTTTCACCAGAACAAAGTTATGTGTCATAAAAATCCCCAGATCCCAACTATACAAAAAAAAAAAAAAAAAGCTGCCTTACAGCTGTCACAGCAGGCTTCTTTAGGACTTCAAATCAGTCCCTTGGGGGTTTACTTTCCTGGCTAACCTCCACCCACATCAAGAATTTCTGAATCCCTAAAGGTCAAGAAAGACCCAGTTTTACCAAACATAAAACACAAACAGAAAAGAAGATTTTGGAAGCTACCTGGAAATACATTTTCAAATAATGTAATCCTAAATACTAAAGACACTTTTGTCCAAATGCTTGAATCAGGAAGAAAAACCTTGCATTCTAACTTCTATCATATTAAAAACGCCAGTACATCAGCTTCCTCAAATTTGAAGCAGTGCCACATTTTAAGAATTCAATTCGATAATGCTGCCAAAGTAAAAGAATTAAGTTATTGTAACACAGAAAGACACAGATATCTTACATATACATTACCATACACTTGAGGGACACGATGACGCTAGAAGCTTAATAACAAAAGGTCGGTTATGCCTCGCACTTTCCAAATAAACACTCAAGTTACAAATGATATGGAAAAAACAAGTGAAAATACAACTTAATCATTAGAGAAATAACAAGAAAATAATTGAAGAAAAATAAGAAACATGAACTTACCAATTTAATGGCCACATATTCATTTGTATACAAATTTTTCCCTTGAAAAAGAAAGAAAAATGTCAGATTCTCCCGGAAGTGAATTTTTAAAGATATATTATGTAAAACTGCTCTGGGGGGGATAGGAGGAAAAGCAAAGAATACATTTACATAAAATATAGATTTTTGCTTCCAACTATTTAGCAGAAACCTCATTAACAGGGATATATTTAAATTATGATCAACTCAGTAACATTTAGTTTTTCACCTGGATTCAGAGAAAGAAGTAAGACTAACTAAGAAATATTTTAGCCTATTTATTAAAAAAAAAAAAAAGAAAAACTCTTATTTTGTTAGAATACTGTGTACCACTTTGGAAGTAATCAATAGGCAAACACACTAAGTTTCAAAACCAGAATGGCATATAGAAACAAGACTACACAATTCCTTTTTCAATCACCACCTCATTTTAAATCCTTTGTCATTATCAGATGTGATCTTAATAGAGCTCTTACATAATCCAGTAAATATACAGAAAAATCTGGAATACATTTAGAATAAAATAAAATTTTAGAAATACTATTCAATAACTGCCTTTGACAAACTAGTTATTTACTCTGAGGAGAAGTGTTATTAGCAACTCACCTTAAAACCAAATTAAATTCCAGTTATTTTAAGAGTTAAATATAAGGCATAAAACAAAAAATATTTATCAGCCCAGTATATAGAAGCCTTTCGAGCATTAAAAAAAGCAAAAAGATTAAGAGATCAGAAGATTTTATACAGATTTGACAGCTTAAAACATTTTAAACCTTTTTAAGTCGAAAAACCTACACAAAGAACAGGTAGAAGACAATCAGAATAAAGATTTAACATAATTAATATGTAAAGAATCCAAGTAAATTACACTAATCATTGGCACCAGCAATTTGAAAATAATGTAGAAAATTCCACAGGGTCAGTATCTGTAGTTCAAGTAAAACACTATGGAGAATTAAGTGTATAAAGATAATCTGATACATTAAGTATAGCTTCTTTACAAGTATAACTAAAAGGATAAAAAAGAGAACAATATTAGATTTCTGAATTTCTGAAGAAAAGGAGAACAATGATAGTTGTTGTGTTTAACTGTGATAGTAAATGGCCCTGGTTACACTGACTACTGAATAAAATAGGTAATCATCAACTTTCACACATGCAATTTTTTCCAACATAATACTCCTAACTTCATTTTATTCAGCAGCTGATGAATGGCAGTAAAACTTCTAGAAAAAATTTCAGTCTTGGATATGTTGCCACAGTGAGCAGTATTTTCACATAAGACTCTTTGCCAGAAGCAATTTCACAGCCCAGCTAACGGCCCATAAGGCAATTTTGCCATAAAAAACAAGGAAAATAAAATTTTAAATAAACATTAAAAAGGACACAATGACACATGAAAAACTAGTAAAAAAAAAATCTTTTAAAGACTTTATTGTGAAAAATGAAAATATAAAAAATTCAAAATTTGTTAAGATTCATGGTAATAGTTGTATTATGGTATATCTGAGAAAAGGTGATACTTTGTCACCTTTTGTCAAAGACAATCATTAGGGATTCAGGATCTCATACTGGATCTAAATTCTCTATGATATAAAAAAAATTTGCACTAAGTCTCTCCAGATTTCCCTGGAAATAAAATGAATAATCGAGGGACACTCCTACTGATTATCAATACATGTAACCTATATAAAGAAAGAAAGTGAAGTCACTCAGTTGTCTCCGATTCTTTGCAACTCCATGGACTGTAGCCTACCAGGCTTCTCCATCCATGGGATTTTCCAGGCAAGAGTACTAGGTTGCCATTTACTCCTCAGGATGTAACCTATATAACTGATAATAAATCACTGCACTACATTTAAATGTTCCAACACATGCCCACTCCTTATATTTCACCAAATCAACTAAGCTAGATACTGTACCAAATACAAAAACTCTGTCTCCATCATGTTCTCCACTATCAAACAGCAAAAAATTTGACCATTTTCAAGAAACTTACACTCATCAGGAATCGTGTAACCATTTCTTTTGTGGGGGACACAATGAGCTTGATTCTTCTTTAGCCTCCAATTTCTAACTGCATGATAAACCTGGTAAAGACGGCATCAGAGAACAAGCAACTGTATCTAAATTAGCCAAAGCTGTTATTGTTGTTCAGTCACTAAGTCCTGTCTGACTTTTTGCAACCCCATGGACTGCAGCACACCAGGCTTCCGTGTCCTTCACTATCTCCCAGAGTTTGCTGAAATTCATGTCCACTGAGTCAGTGACACTATCTAACCATCTCATCCTCAGTCGCCCTCTTCTCCTCTTGCCCTCAATCTTTCCCAGCATCAGGATCTTTTCCAATGAGTCAGCTCTTCACATCAGGTGGCCAAAGTATTGGAGTTTTGGTTTCAACATCGGTCCTTCCAATGAATATTCAGGGTTGATTTCCTTTAGGATTGACTACTTTGATTTCCTTGCAGTCCAAGGGACTCTCAAGAGTCTTCTCCAGCATCACAATTTGAAAGCATAAATTCTTCAGCACTCAGCCTTCTTTATCGTCCAACTCTCATTTCCATGCTTTGATCATATGGACTTTTGTTGGCAAAGTGATATCTCTGCTTTTAAATATATGGTCTAGGTTTCTCACAGCTTTACTTTCAAGGAACAAGCATCTTTTAATTTCATGGCTGCAGCACTGTCCACAGTGATTTTGGAGCTCAAGAAAAGAAAACCTGTCACTGCTTCACACTATTTCCCTTCTATTTACCATGAGGTGATGGGACTGTAAAAATAACTAAATCACTTTGCTGTACACCTAAAACTAACACAACACACAAACTACAATCCAATATAAAATGAAAAAAAAAAAAAGAAAGCACTGCATCTGTGGAGAAATGAAACCAAATTGTCAACCAGTTATCTTACCCTTTAGGGCAAAACTGCCTTACGGTCAATGAGTTGTATGACCAAACAGCACGACTACTTGTGACAAAGAATATCATGACAAAAATACTGAGAACCACTGCCAACACTGTAGTGTTTGTTCATATAAATATTATAATGCTCTTCTGAGTTTTGTTCTTGTTTTATAAAAATAAGTGGGAAAAAAATGTTCATTCTAATGCTAAGTAGCATAAGTCTCACAAACCTATTACACTGATCACAAAGATGGAGATTAATAGGAATGCCTAAGTGGTGTAAGCTAAGCTGTAGTCAAAGCACTCACTGAGCTCATAAATTAAAAAATATTTTAGAAAACATACTATTTTTCAGCCAATTAGTTCAGCATTTAGATGTGACCATATATATTTTAAGAATACACGATGTATAAAATTGGCTTAGTGAATAAATTGATACAATGAAAAATTTAAATTTTGAGGAACACTTAAATCCTGAGTGTCCAACAAAGGAAAAATTTTAGTTTAAAAATGGAATTTATATTTCACCAAGACATTACCATCTTCTCAGAATTATTTTGTATTGTAAATGATATTTATTCATAACCACAGAGAAAAAATATTTATAGGACAAAAAGTTAAACACAGATTCCATACAATGAAAATAAACAAAATACTTCTTAAAATATTGTTCTTGCCATTCACATGGTCAAATGTTTACTTTTAAGTCACAGAAAGTGAAGTGAAAGTGAAGTCACAGAAGAAAGCACTAAATCTTAAAAGCATTTTTTTTTAAATATTAGCAATTTCACTGAACTTTGAAGGTTATAAAAATGAGCCATGATTGAATACTACCAATGCATTTTTGTCATTTTGCAACAGTTCAGTTCAGTTACTCAGTCGTGTCCAACTCTTTGCAACCCCATGGACTGCAGCACGCCAGGCCCCCCTGTCCACCACCAACTCCTGGAGTTTACTCAAACTCATGTCCATTGAGTTAGTGATGCCATCCACATCTCATCCTCTGTCATCCCCTTCTCCTCCCGCTTTCAATCTTCCCCAGCGTTAGGGTCTTTTCAAATGAGTCAGTTCTTCGCATCAGGAGGCCAAAGTACTGGAGTTTCAGCTTCAGCATCAATCCTTCCAATGAAGATTCAGGACTGATTTCCTTTAGGATGGACTGGTTGGATCTCCTTGCAGTCCAAGGGACTCAAGAGTCTTCTCCAACACCACAGTTCAAAAGCATCAATTCTTCAGTGCTCAGCTTTCTTTATAGTCCAACTCTCACATCCATACATTTCTGGAAAACCATAGGTTTGACTAGATGGACCTTTGTTGGCAAAGTAATCTCTCTGCTTTTTAATATGCTGCCTAGGTTGGTTATAACTTTTCTTCCAAGGAGCAAGAGTCTTTTAATTTCATGGCTGCAATCACTGTCTGCAGTGATTTTGGAGCCCCCCAAAATGAAGTCTGTCACTGTTTCCATTGTTCCCCCATCTATTTGCCATGAAGTGATGGGACCAGATGCCATGATCTTAGTTTTCTGAATGTTGAGCTTTAAGCCAACTTTTTCACTCTCCTCTTTCATTTTCATCAAGAAGCTCTTTAGTTCTTCTTTGCTTTCTGCCATAAACAATGTGTCATCTGCATATCTGAGGTTATTGATATTTCTCCCAACAATCTTTTTCCAGCTTGTGCTTCATCCAGTCCAGCATTTCTCATGGTGTACTCTGCATAGATTAACAAGCAGGGTGACAATATACAGCCTTGATACATCAGTACTCCTTTTCTGATTTGGAACCAGTCTCATGTTCCATGTCCAGTTCTAACTGTTGCTTCTTGACCTGCATACAGATTTCTCAGGAGGCAAGTCTGGTGGTCTAGTATTCCCATCTCTTTCAGAATTTTCCAGTTTGTTGTGATCCACACAGTCAAAGGCTTTGGAGTAGTCAATAAAGCAGAAGTAGACCTTTTTCTGGCACTGTCTTGCTTTTTCAATGATTCACTTTGTATCGTCATGCCTTTAAATAATCGGCTTTTAAATCCATATTTGGTACATATATGAACAAACTAACAATGTATGTTCAATGCACAAAGTATATGCTTGTGGGTACAATACAAGCAAGAGAGAGGAGTGTGTGTATAGAGGAAAACCAATTAAGAGAAGGTTCCAAGTAAACTGGCTCCAATTCACTGAAGTTTTAATCCAATTTCAAACGATGTTTCCAATGGTGCTTTGTGCCATACTGAACTTGAAAAGATGGTTTACCAATATCGGGATATTTGAATGGTCATTATTATAAAACTAATTTCTACAGAAACTCCATATATGGTTATATCAGGGACGACTAATCAACTAAAATACCCCTGTTCACCTTCCTTAGTAAAAGAACGGCGTAAAATGGTTATCCAGCTAGACTACATTTCTAGCCTCTTTCAACATGTGATTTTAAGTTCTAGATATGAGTCAACATAAGGTATGTCACTGCCCACTTGCAAGAATGAACGTGTTATCTTCTGGCCCTTTTGTTGTTGCTGGCTGGGTGTCTGGGAGACAGCAACAAGGGGAGTAAACAACTCACACATGGAGACTGAAGCCACATTCTGAGGGTGCAGAGACACCCTGACAACCCTTGGTGCTGTTCTTCTGGCCTGTGTTACATGAGAAAGAAAGAAACTACTTTGCCAAACACCGCTGTATGCTAGGATCTCTTTCTTAAAGCATCATAGCCTACTCCTTGTTACATTTTTCAGAAAAATTTTAAGCTTCAGCTAGTAAATGTAGAAAAATCAATAAACATAAAAAAGATGAATCCACCCAAATCTGTATATTTACTTGATATATACAGTAAGACCTGAAGAATTTTCAACAAAACAGTTCTTAAGCAAAAATAGAAAGTTATAAAAACTTCTGTGTCTACTTAATTATATCAAAATGTACAATATCTTACTTCAGATATGGTAATTCAAAAAACAATATATAACACCCTTGTTCTGTTCTTTCACATGATGGTCAGTCAGGCATAGCTACAAGAGGAGACACAGAAGAAGCTCAGGAAAACAAAGTTTTCCTGGTGCTAAAGAAGGGGTCACAGAAGAAACATCATGTTTTGGTCAGGTGGTAGAACACAGGAGCAAGGGAAGAGCTTTGGCCAAGATCTTGGTATTTCTGCAGGAAAAACAAGATAGAGAAGGGTAAAGAGCCTAGGAGTGACTAGTTTGAATAACTCCGTTAACCTTCGGTGGGCAGTTTCTCTAGCTGTCTTGTACTTTGCCATGGGATGCCTTCAGGAAGATTGCCTCCTAGAATGCATGGGTCAGAGAGAGGAGGAATGGCTCTAGATTGGTTAGTTTGCAGAACAAAGGCATGCTCCCAATTTTTTTTATCTTGAAGAACTAGCTATCCTGTAGAGGAGCACTCTTTCCATAGAGTGAAAGGATTTGAGGTTTTCTGGTTTCTTTTTATTATTAAAGCAATGTTTTATTAGCTGGTTTGTATTCCATACATTCTAGAATACATCTGCAGTAAGACATCTATATGGTTGACCAGAAAGGTTTTTCTTCAGATGTTAAAGCCTCATAATACACAGGAAAATACAAAATGTATACAATATAACCCCACATTTTGGCTAGCTTTGTTCTGTCTCATTCTGTACCTGTTAAAAACATTTCCAAGGCATTTTGGTTAATTGTCTAAGCTAGGAATATAGTCAACATGCTGGATGGAAGCGTTACCACCAATACAAGGATAAAATAAAACCAAAAATAGTCAATCATCATTTTACAATTAAAAATACAGATAAAAATGATAGTAAACACATTTACTTAAACTTAATTTTAGATCTTTTTTAAAATTTAACTATTTTCTTTTTAATCTCAAGGCAAATTTTTTTATGTTCGGCTTTCTTTCTTGAGAGAGAGAGAGAGAGAGAGAGAGAGTGAGTGTGTGTGTGTGTGTGTTAGCGTTCAGTCCTGTTCAACTCTTTGCGACCCCATGGACTATAGTCTGCCAGGCTCCTCTGTCCATGGAATTCTCCAGGCAAGAACACTGGAGGTGGGTTGCCATTTCCTTCTTTCTTTAGTGATCCTCTATAAAAGTACTTTCAACAGAGCGTAATACTGTCTCTTCTTGGGGCTTCTGGAAATGGCAGTGGGGGCTGCAAGGAAGGAATCTGGGGCTGCATGTGGAGATGCAACTCCTGTTTAGTGTCCAAGAGGTCTGAAGTTCTAAATACCACACAATGTATGGGACAGTCTTCTACCAAACAAACAAACAAAAACAAAAGACTATCCAGCCCAAGATCCTAATAGCACCTTTTCTGACAATCACTTAACTATAACATATATACTCCATATTCTTTCTTGCTCAATACTAATCACAAAAAACTTAGTGCCAGAAATCAATGTCTATTAACATGGTTTTAAAGAAAGCACTTTAAGAATTCAAACCAGATTTTAATATTGGCATGTTTATCCAGATTAAATAAACATGTTTATTCACATTTATCATAGAAAAAATGATACTTATAACAACTTTTCTGTACAGAGAAATCACCTGGAACCTTTTTAAAAGGGAATAAAACCTCCCTTTATTTAGTAGTCTACCAAGAAAGAAAAATAATTAAAATAATTATGCAAGTGGACATGTTAAATGAATCATAAGTATTGAAACAGTAACATGTATAGATAAAACATTTAAATAAAATCTACAAAAATATACAATAAAAACCCACAGGTAGATTAGCCATAGATAGATAAATAGAAAGATGATGATGGACGGATGGATGGATAGACTAATAAATCATCTTATCCCTATTCCTGCTTATTCACAGACTGCAAAAAAATGGCGGTATTTTGCTGTTTTTTTCAGTATACAGCATGTTAGTTTCAGTATATAGGAGTAATACAGTTTTCTCATATGCCCTGGCTAAAATGTTCCACTAGATTCTTTTGTGTGTATACACACATATACCCACACACACACATACACACACACACACACACAGATGTGTATATATATATAGTTATTTTGAAATAAATTATATGAAATCATTCTGGATAATAAATGCCAAAGTACTATAGTACTATAGTCATATACACAAAGAGTGACAAAGTACAAATGTGTCATAATATATAGCCAGAAAACTAATTTATATTAAAAAATTTAAATATACATACAACACGCTATAATCTTAATTAAGAACAAATATCTTGATATCCTTTAAAGGAGGAGAATAATCACTGCTTTCCTAAAACAGGCAAGGATAATGTTGGTTCTTTTACACTGTTATCTAAATTTAATCTTCACAGTAATTCAGGAAGCTGAAATAATTCCATTTTAAAGTGGACAAATCTGAAGCCCCATGTGGTTAAATGACTTATGCGTTCCATAATGGCAGAGATAATTTTTATATTTTTCCAATGTATCATCAGTGTCTAATCATGTTTCATACATAATACTGTAGACATGTGATAACTTTTTAATGGATGGATGGGTGTAATTCAAGGTCAGACAAGTAAATAATCTGCTCTTTTTTTAATGCCAAAATCAGAAACAGTTTAAGAATTTCAAAGTATCATTACAATATCTTTTAAAAAATAAAATATAATTTATATAACATTCACCCTTTCAAATATCTGAGTCCCTACTAAAATGCAGAAAAGTCTATCAGACACATCACATGTATAAAATGTCATTACCTTTTATTGGATTGCTTCATTCAAAGATTTAATGTACATTAACTACATAAAACAGTAATAAAATGAAGGAGTAACTAAAAATTAGAGTGTTTTTGGCCCAGATGGTAAAGAATCTGCCTGCAATGCAAGGGACCTGGATTCGATCCCTGGATTATAAAGATTCCATGGAGAAGTGAATGGCAACCCACTCCAGTATTCTTGCCTGGAGAACTCCATGGGCAGAGGAGCCTGGTGGGCTACAGTCCATGGGGGACTGATACTCACAGAGTATCAGACTCTTTGAAACTAACACTTTACTTTCTTTCAGAGTGTTTTACAAGATGATAAAGAGAAGTAGTTGAATAGATGAACATACAATTGTACATATTTTTATAACACCAAGGTTGAATCTAATGAAAACTGCAAAGCTAAGTTTTTTCTTTTTATTTAAAGAAGTTTACACTTGTGCTGGTGCATTAACCAGACAGCCCTCAAGGAACCTCAATACTGACTCCCATAAAACCGTGCTGTCCTCCTTCTTGTTTCTCTTCAATGAAGATAGCCACATCTTCATTGCACTAGGAGTTAAAAAGATAGATTTGGATTGTGAGTCCATCATTAAATTGATGTGTGACATTTGTCAAGAAACCTTCCCTGAGTTTCAAATGTCTTAAACGTAGAGTTAGGAGGTTAAAGTAGACCAATGTTTCCCAAACGTAACTGATCTTAAGAATAAACTGAATCAGTCCTTTGTGTCCCTTGGTAAGAATATAGATTTCTAAACCACTCTGGACATACATGGGGGGAGAGGGGAATAAATTACAACACTGCAAACTGCACTGATTTTTGACACAGTTTAAGGATATTACCTTAACTTTAAGCCATATGTATCTTCCTAAAGTAACCAGTTACTAAATGTTTTCCAATCAGAAAAGGTAGCCTAAAAATCATTCCTAAAGAGTACACTGCAAAGACTCCCCTGGTTTCTCTTTCAGCCTGCTAGGGCTTTTTCATTTACTATCTTTTTTCTCTTAATCTGGATGGCTAATCTCAAGAAAACAGACACAGTACTAAGTAATGACCCACAAATGAAAATACAAGTACATAAGAAATTCTTAGTATCTGTATTCTTTAAAATTACCACAACAATGAAACAACTAAACAAGTAAGTAAATCATTTCATTAAAAAGTACCCTTCATTTAAAAAAAGAAATGCTCCCATTATTATGGAATAAACAAAATAGTCTTACCTAATCGTAGTTCTCCAAAATTCCCACATCCAATTTTTTTTCCAACTCTAAAGTTAGGTCCAACCATTAAAACTCCAGAGGAAGAAGAACCAGTTCCTCGAGTGTTATGTCCCAACCGACCACTAGGTCGTGCCATTCTATCATCTGATTTGTCCTTGTCTTTCTTTTTATTTTCCATATCAAGTTTGCGGTACTCCACTTTGAATTCTTTAATCAAGACAAGCACACTGAAATAGGGTATCGTGAGAACTGGTACATCACTAGGTAACTGTACCAGGTGGGTGATGTTAACATTCAAATTGCAGTAGGTAGTCAATGAACTGGCGCGTGTTCATCCCATTCGTAAAATTTTTCTCAGCTGTCTTTTCAGCAAAACATGTCTTCAGAATTATTTTTTCAATGATACGAGCTGATATTGATAGAGAGCTAGAAAATTAAGAAAAGAAAATTAGTCAACTTAGAATTAAAAACCATGTTTCGGAAATTAATAAAGTAATAAAAAGTTCAGGCAATGGACTTAATGCCCACTGAAATCAAACCTCAGCAGACTCTTAATCATTACCCTTCATTCCTATACTTTAATATCAAAGAGATCACAAAAACAAAACCAAACAAAATCAGTGATTTGCTTACTTTTAAAAAAATAAATAAAAATAACAAAAATGTATTATTTCATAAGCCAATATATATTCACCAGCCTAGACCTTCCAGCTTAGAATCATTCCAATTAAAAAAAAAAAAAAAATTCAAAGAATTCCAGTAAGTCAATACAGGAATATCAATTTAAAAGCAAGAAAAGAGAATCCATTTTGCAAATTAGTAAAAGAGTTTACTATTTTTCACATGTTCATACATTTAATAATTTTCAAGGGCTTTTCAAATATACATTCTTATTTGATCTTCATTTATTCAAATATTTATTACTTGTAACTACACATGGGAATGGAGCAATCACAACAAGGTTTGAAATAAATAGTACCTTTCTGATTAATTTTAGCAACCCACCAAATATGTAATTATTTCTAACACCCAATGTATTTATAAAGTTTCTTATTATATCTTCCATGCTCTTAATATTGCAGATGAAATGTAAGCATCCGTTTGGTTTAAGTAAAATTTAATGAGTTTTACATATACTGTTTCCTTTCTACAATAGAGTAACTAATACTGAACTTCCCCCCTTGCTGTAAATAATTATGAAAATGGACAAATATTTTCAGGCATTGAATAATAGCTAGAGCAAACTGTGATCTGTGAGAAAATAGAAACACAGAAGGTGAATTCCACCTTCACTCAAGCTCTCCAGCGAGGGACAGTTTTCTGACTACAGCACAGGAAGTGGAGACCCAGGCAGTGCCCAAAGATCACAGATCAGAGTCTGGGGTGTTGAAGCTGGTGGAATTTGCAGGACAGTACTGAAGGTGAGAGGTACAGTTTTAGGGGTAGGAGGTGACAGGGCCGAAACAAGGCCTGTTAAATAAAGAATGGGGTTAAATAAAGAATGGAGATACCAAAGACTGTAGAGTGCCAGGATATCTTAAAGTTCCTACCTAGTCATGATGGAGGAACCTCATTAACATCCCAGAATTCAGCTGAGATACCAGAAAGACCAAGTCTTAACAGTAAGGAACATACTGTAGAGTAAGAACCTGAGAAGGGCCACCTAAAGCCTGAAACCAAGCCGAGAGAGGATTAAGAATATCTCCAACTACACTAACTGCATTCCAGAATGAAACCTGACATAATTAAACAGACAGAGGGAAAAAAAAACAAAAACAGACTTTCAACAACGTTGAATTCATAATGTCTGGCATACAGTTAAAAAAATTACCAGGCATGAAAATAATCAGTAAATGTGACATGCAGTCAGAAATAAAGCTATCAAAGGAAACAAACTCCAAGATGACCCTGATGCTGAAATGAGAAGACGGGACTTCAAAACTACTAAGTAGCTATTAAAGTTCTACTACATTAAGGAGGAGAACGGAACAGAAAAATATCTGAAGAAATAATGGTTGAAAACTTCCCAAATTCACTGAAAAACACTCAGCCACAAAAATGGGGAAACTCAGCAACTCCATAAAGAATCAATACAAAGAAAATTAAACCTAGCTACATCAAAGTGCAAAAACCCAAAAATTAAGGTAAAGTCCTGAAAGCAGACAGAAGAAAAACTACACAACACACAGGTGAACTTCAAAACCTATCAGAAATAATGGAGACCAAAAAGAAAACGGGAGAATATGTTCAAAGCAATGGAAGGAGGAAATGAACTCTCAACCAAGAACAAGACACCCAATAAAATTAGTCTTTAAAACTGAAAATGAAAGAAGCTAAAAATAGACACCAGCACACAAGAAATACTTTTCAAATAATCCATTAAGCTTAATTAAATCACATGATACCAGATAGAAATGTGAAACTTTAAGAAGAAATGAGGAACACTAGAAACGGGAAATGCATAGGTATTCATTTCCTCAAAAGATAAAATTACTTGTTACAGCACAAGTAATTTCTTAGTGTCATTTATAAGATATGGGGAAGTAGAATAAATATATGATAACAGAAATGGCAGGGGCAGCAAGTAAATGGAATGATATTAAGATTCTTATATTTGTTAAGAATAAAGTAGTTAAATATTAATTTTAAATGGCAGGGTAGACAGTAAATGGAACTACATTATTTTTTAAGATTCTTATATTTGTTAAGAATGAGTGGTTCAATATTAATTTTAAGCAGCCCATGACAAATTAAAAATGCATATTGTAATACCCAGACCAAACACTAAAAATTAACTGCAGTAGAAACAGCTAAAAAGTTAATACAAGAAATAAAGTAGGATGATAAACATTTGATTAAAACAAGAGAATTAAGAGATATGACACAAAAAGGAAAACACCAAGAGAATAGACTTTAAAACATACTTATAATGGAAATGGACCATATTCTCTCCATGAAAAGCAAAAAGACTTTAAAAAAGAAAAAAATCAAGCTATACACTGTCTCTAAGAAACAACTTTACATACAAAGACACAGACAAACTAAAAGTGAAATAATAGATACACTACGGCAAACATCCTCATTTGCAGATGACACCACCCTTATGGCAGAAAGTGAACAAGAACTAAAGAGTCTCTTGATGAAGGTGAAAGAGAAGAGTGAAAAAGCTAGCTCAAAACTCAACATTCAAAAAACTAAGATCACGGCATCCTGTCTCATTACTTCATGGCAAATAGATGGGAAAACAGTGGATACAGTGACAGACTTTACTTTCTTGGACTCGAAATCACTGCAGATGGTGACTGCAGCCATGAAATTAAAAGACACTTGCTCCTTGGAAGAAAAGCTATGACCAACCTAGACAGAAATATTAAAAAGCAGAGATGTTACTTTGCCAACTAAGGTCCATATAGCCAAAGTTGTAGTTTTTCCAGTAGTTGTGTATGAATGTGCGCGTTGGACCATAAAGAAGGCCGAGTGCTGAAGAATTGATGCTTTTGAACTGTGGTGTTGGAGAAGACTCTTGAGAGTCCTTTGGTCTGCAAAGAGATCAAACCAGTCAATCCTAAAGGAAATCAATCCTGAACATTCATTGGAAGGGCTGATGCTGAAGCGCCAATACTTTTGGCTACCTGAGGCAAAGAGCTGACTCATTAGAAAAGACCTTGATGCTGGGAAAGATTGAAGGCAGGAGGAGAAGGGGATGACAGAGCATGAGATGATTGGATGGCATCACCAACTCAATGGACTAGTCTGAGCTAGGATAGGGAAGTCTGGTGTGCTGCAGCCCATGGGGTCGCAAACAGGTGCACGTGACTAGGCAACTGAACAACAACAACAATGTAATCATCAAGTATATTAAGCTTGAGAGGCTATAACATTATCATACAAAGTGAACACCAAAACAAGGGAGACTCTTCAAAGATACAGAGATCTATTTCATAATAACAGAAATATCAACTCAACAGAAAAATGTGAAAAATCATAAAAATGACATATAAATGAGCAAAATGAAGGAAAGACTTTAAAAACAAGGATTAGTTTGAAATAACTGTTTGAAAAAGACAATCATAGTTGAAATGTTAACACTGGTGTTTCACTGTTGTTTGATAAAGTAGAAGACAAAAACAACAGTATGTATACTGAAACAGTAGACCTAAATATCATCAACTATCCTGAACTGACATTTATAAGATACAGTATCCCAAATACTGATAAATAATATTTCCTTTCAAAAAATGTTCATCAAGAAAGATCATATGCTATCATTATTTAAGTCTCAAATAACTAAAACATTCAAGTACACTCTCTGATCTAGTATTTCTAATATTAGAAATGTTAAGATTCAATATTTGAAATAAATTCAGCAAATTAACAGGAAAAAAAGAAAGTATCTCAACAGACAATAAAATGCATTTGAAAAAATTCAACCCATTAATGTTTAAAACTTCTCAGTAAACCAGAAAGAGAATCAAATGTCAACCTAATAAAAGGGTTTTTCCTAAAAAAAAAAAAAAATAGCCAACATCTTACTTATTATACGGTAAAACACTGAATAATCAAGACTAGGAGAAAACAAAAGAATGTTTGCTCTCAAGTCTTCCATTCAACACATTGTACAGAAGAACTAGCCGGTACAATAAGTTAAGAAAAGATGCAAAAGGCATAAAAAGCGAAGAGGAAAAGGCTAAACTACTGTTGTTCACAGACATTATAACTGTGTGTGCAGAAAACCTTATAGGGAGACATCATCAAGAGAGCAACATAGGTCATTCCCAACTTCAGCCCCCTCACGAGACCAACCAGCGACTACCCACAGACAAGACATCACTGAAACAAATTCCCAGAACCCAGGGCTGAGATCACAGCACCCTCCTGAAGCAGAGAGGCAGAGAAGGGCAAGAGGAGCGGCTGCGCTCTGGCCCTCCCCCAAGGCTGACAGCATCACACCCACAGGGCCCTCAAGCCGATGGTTTCCCCAGCGGGAAAGTGAGAGTCCCAGGTGGACCCCCAGCTTCTCCAGTAGGGCAGGATGCTTCACGGAAGTCCAAGGCGGACCTCCAGCTGCCCCAGTCTGGCACGACGCTTCCTGGGAGGCCCACTCTGGTCTTGCACTCTGGTCACTGTGGGAATCATTAGGGGAAAAAAGAAAAACCTCAACAGAACAATAGTAAAGAT